TATAGTAAAGGACGTGAAAGCAAAGAGAAATCTGAGGCTATAGTGATAAGCACTCTGGAATTTCTTCTTTCACTTATCATCTGGGAAAATATTGTTACTGCACTTATAATCTTGCATCTAAAGATATGCAAGCATTTGATATGGATCTTGGCAAATCATCCTCCAATCGGAAAGAGCACCAAATTCAGATAAAGAAATAAGAATGCAAAAAGATTTAAAAAAAAATCCACTATCCTTGCTCTTAACTTAATTTGGACTTCCTGTTTCATTTGTTGAAAAAAGAACAAGAAGGGTTCACAGATACTTTGACGAAGGGGCCACAGACGAGCTTATCATTGACGCAAAAACAAAATTCCGTGTGGAACTGTTCTTTCCAACAATTTATACTATTACTAGCTAGAAAAACGTTTCAAAAGCCAGCATTGGAAGATGGCAAGAAAATAGGAAGTGCTGCTCGTGTATATATACGTACTCAAGCATTATTTGCGAAAACGAAATGACCAGCACCTATTCCAAGTTGGTATCAGCAATAGTTATTTTTCTTTCTCTGCCCGTTACTGTTGCCACTGCCGCTATGCGATCATTTAGTAAACTTAATATTATAAAAAAACTATTTAGGATCCACAATGGCATAGGAAAGATTTAATGCACTTGTTGTAATTTCTATATTGAAGTTGAAGAGGCAAAAAAGTTTGAAATTTACAAAACGATCGATTGATATCTTTGAAGAGAAAACGACCGGATCAACTAAATTTAACAGTTAATAACTGAAACAATTTGGTTGCAATTTAAATTGTGTTTGCTTACACCTTGTCAGTGTATTAATTGTTATGAACTGTTGCTGTTGCTGTTGCGTTGCTGTTGCTTATAAGAATAGAAAACGGAGCTGTTTTTTTTACTGTGTTTACAGGGTTATAATTGATGTAGTAATAGTTATATTCAGTAGCTATAACATACTCTCGCAAATTTTGTTGCAGAATTTGGTTCAATATTTGAACCTCGTGTTCCTCATGTTCGTCCAAAATTCAATTCGTAGGCGGTTAGCATTGTAAAAAAATTCGGGGAAGATGTATAATCAAGGAGCCCTCCAAACTACTTCAACCGGGGGCCCATAACTGAAGATTTACGTCACTGGTTTGTATATCAGATACAGAGCGGATGCGAAAAAATTACCCATCTTATGAGTTCATTGGCGAAGTAATTTTAAAAATAAACGGCATTGCCTAAGCCGAGAAAATTAAAGCTGAAGTTTATGTAAATCAGGACAAATCCGATTTACAAACATTGATTAAACATTCATTTCTTTTGTATTTTCCTCGTGAATATTAATGAATTTTTTAATATCCATTATATAACGTTTACTATATTGGTGCGGAAACATGGAGCCTGTTCGCTGGTAGCGCTGTGAATCAATATAGTTAACAACAAAAATCATGACCGAAGACACCAAAAATGGATCAAAATTGTATTTTAAAATACTTAAAACGTGGAAAAATTGGGAATCGATCGACTCGCATTATCTCAATCCCATTCCCATTTTTGAGGACTTCGTTTCCTATTCCCAGTGGCCAAATCCCAGTCCAAGCAACCCAAATCCCATTTTCCCAGTCTAAAAATAGATCAATCCCAGTTCCCATTTTAAGACATTTAAATGGTGGGGCGGATATAACTCAAACATAGCGTACCTTTTGCTTTATCATGTACGCATACTTGCACAACTATAATTAAGATAGAATACACTCGATCCAAGGAATTAACATTGTGAAGGATCCGAACAGCGTGAATAGCAGTTACTTATAAGACTGTCCATACAGGACCGTAGCGAAGAGGATCGAGAAAGGAGGGGGGAGGTATAGAATCGCAAAAACATTTTTCGGTCATACAAAAATCAGTTTCCGGACATATAGCGTAATTTTCCGGACATATCCTAGCTACATTTTTGCTATAACTATTACTTTTTCACCCGAGCCACTCAAATATTTTCGCTGATTACGGAAACGATTTGCCGATGAAACCATTATATTGCCGAAAAGACGTTTTCAGAAGGGTGTTACCCCCCTCCCCCTATAGCTACGGCCCTGTGTCCATAAAGCTATTCACAATACCAACTGGCCAAATTACTTGAAGATATTTCAGCACAATGGACGTTTAATTTAAGATCTCGCAACAGCATATGCAATTAGAGAGACCATTATGTTGCAGGACACTACAAGATCAAACTTCGCACCTCAATTTAATTCATCGTCCAACAAAGTGAGATGCTGGCCAGACTTTGCTACCTTTTGCAAAGAAACTAGAAACATCAAACATTCATTATTTACACTATAGGGCACTAGAAGCCTCGAAGCTTTACCAACTGCGGAGCTACACGGTCAGGTCAGAATGAGGACTGGGACTGATCATGATTAATACAACCACAACAATTAGGAGCGTCAATATAAACGTCGAATTCAAAACCATTCTGGAATGAAAAATTCAAACTTTAAGCAAAATTGTAGAACAGCTATGCAACAATGTTGAGAAGGGTTGATCCTTCCGTTAATTTATAGTCTTCTCGCATATTTCTTTTTTTTTCAGTGTCTAGCAACCGCCACTCAAGTCAACAGGAATGGACCTCAGAAGTGCTTATATCGCGCTGTAAATTTCAAGCAATGAATTTATTTATTGATCCACAATACGCTGTGCGTTCTAGAAGTCCTCTGTATTTGAAAAATTGCGTGACGTAAGGCCTCTTGATAAAATATGCAAGCTTGGAGTTTCATAATAGTGCATGTGAAAGTGGTACTTCTAGGTACCATGCAATGGTACTTCTCATGCAGTGAATGCGGTACTTCTCTCAGTGAAACTCAATGTTGAAGACGCGATATTGTTGCGAAGCCGCGTCGAAGCAACACTGAGCGTAATTTTAACGTTGAAACGCCAGGCTTTTTAATTCCTGTGATTTCCTGAATATATGTTCTTAGTGATATGTCTATATGCTTTTTTGTGTGTTTCTTGCAAATTCTCGTATGGGAACTCAGTATTCAGGACCGTAGGAAGATGATTAAAGTTAAGGGGGCTCAACAGCGAGCGCCGAATGCACGAGCCGCCGCATGGGTCTCCGGGGGATTGATTTTCAACTCTGAAACACGTTTTCCTTCATTCATGGGTTAGATTTGCCTCGAGTTTTACAATAAAATATTATGATCATAAACAACATGATTTTGATATATCTTCACTTTCTTAGCTAATATATGTCAGAGTATTTTTTGGCATGGTGTTCTGGTCAAGCACTCGATTTTTAAAAATATCCTCGTTAATTTTGGTCCAATCTGTGGCAAGATTATAGGTAGAAGTAGACGTAGTGTCATATCAAGTCATTGAACTCTTGCGCTATATTCAAATCCAAACTCAAGATCCAAACTAGCTTTATGCTTCACTCTGAATAAACTAAACTCGGACTAGTTGAGCGTCCAAGGAGATGGAAAACTATTTGCATGAAATGTCGCTGGAGCAATATCATGCACCTGCTGCTCGTAGCTGGTCTGGTAGTGTTAAATAGCGAGGTTTTCGGGTTTGACTTCATCTACCTCGCGCCGACCTGGTTTGCATGTATGTGGTTAGTGGTTCCAACTAGTGGGGGTCAAATCTGATAATCTTGATAATGTAGTATTTATTCTTGCTTGTTTATATGTATTGTAAGGACTAAAGTCTGGTGTAAAATGGCTGCAATCACTTTTGACTTCCATTACCGCTATCACTACCTCGCGCTGACCTGGTTTGCATGCACGTAGTTAGTGGTTTCCAACTGGTGGTGCTGGTGGGGGGTCAAATCTGAACCTCGCAAATAAGTTCACTGTAGAGTGTAGTGTAGTATTTATTCTTGCATGTTTTATATAGTCGGTATAAAAGCCAGGTAAAATAAGTATTACGTAACTTACGTTGTCAAGTTTGTAGTCCGTAATATGTCGCCGTGTTTTAGTGTTAGATGGATGGACTTAGTATGGGATTCTAGTTCTGTTGTCCAATTCTTCAATCATAGCTGCATGTGTATTTTTTTATGTAATATAATTGTATAAAAGTTAGGCGAGACTTTTTTTATTTATTGGTTTACGGATTTGACTTTAAAAATAAGACGTCGGTAGGTCGGAAAAAAAATTAAAAAAATTAAAAAACGAACTGAGTATAAATGAGAACCGAAATTAATAATCTTTATAACATTTTTTAACGTTCAATTAAAAAAAAACACGCAAAAAACGTGGCTAATCTACATATTGATTGTCACAACCATAGATATAGGAGATCTAGATTGCTAACGCATACCTAGCGCAGGCGGGGCCTACATGATAAATCCAAGATGGCGGTACAACAGGGCAAAAAGACTATAAATTCTATTACGAAAATCAGGATTTTTGCATTTTTTGCCGTCGCATTGTTTTGAAACTTATTCGGTCAAATTTTATGGTAAAGAGAAACTTACCGCAAAGATTTTGAGCATATATATGATTGAATTGGATGAAAACTCGCAAAATTATCCAGCGATAAAAGTTCGTGTATAGTATGTAACTTGTACAGTTTTGCTTTAATTTTTGCTCACTATTTGCATAAAAAGCAAATTATAACAGACCATAGCTGATAGACCCTCATCCAGTGCTCTCATCACTTCTCTCTAACAAGCAAGGAGGTACATAACAGTTCATTTTTCATAATGGTCACAACGATAACATGAGCCAGCAGTACCTAAAGTCAAAGTTCACTTGAAGTGTACTTCATGCCAGAACCCCAAATTAAATTAATTAAAATTAACTAAAATTGTAAAATTTTTGACATCCAAATTTTTTTTTATTTTTCACTTTCTGAATATTTACGGTCGGCGGACCGTAAACCAATGAATAAAAAAAAGTCTTGCCTTAATAAAGAAAAAATTCCCTTCAATTATTATTCCAGTTATAGAGTGAGATCAGTGCGAATATTATTCTTCACCCTAAAATTAGCAGGCATTTCAGGCTTGTTGCCATAAACAACAATACAATATATATTATTAAAATCAATTTTGTAAACTGTTTTATTCTCGTTTGCTAACTTTGCTGCAATCAACTAGCGTTTTACAGTTGTTCTTGTTGAGATATATTTTGTTTAACAGTGGTAGCGAAGCTTAGGATGTCAAGTTTTGATGGAAGATATGCTTTTATAGCAGATTGGTACGATTCAAATGCAGCACTGACGCGAAAATATCAACTCTTCTATTACCCCAATGACACCACTGTTGAGATGGTAAGGCAGCATTCTTAATGAAAATAATTTTTTATTCTTTTTTTCTACCATAGTCTTTGTATTTTATACAATTTTTATATCTTCGACTTGAGAATTTTATACACTTGATATATGTGAAGTAATACCAAATGATACCTCCACAGGCTGCAAATTATGTACGAGTCAAATCCAACCGCGATCAGCCCCCCCCCCCCGGGCAACCCCAGGGCATTTGACTTAACATTACCCCCATATAGGCGGGAATTTGACAGCCCGGTCGGGAATTTGACGGCCCGGCCGGGCATTTGACCACTTGACAACAACTTGCTCAGCAGTTTTCCCTAAAAATATGTGTACATTCTAGCGCTTTACGAGTTTTTTATTTTGCGTCTTTTCGATAGTTTGAAAATTGCTTCTGAATCACAAATATGAATCATAGATATATGATACAATATGCTCAGTTGAACAAAAAGAAGAACTGTCTGGCCTATTTTTCGTTCTTTTTAATCTTGAAATACTTCTTCAAATTCCCCGGGGGTTGCCCGGGGGGGCCTGATCGCGGTTGGATTTGACTCGTACATTACTGTCGGACATCGGACAATGTCCGACTAAATTTAGCAAATGTCCGAGCAAAAGTGATTTTGATTGGACACTACATTGGCACAGAATACTACACAGAAGTCCATCTCCTTTGTTTTTGCGTAAGCTCTATTCGTCGTGATTCGTCACTCAGCAAGTACCGTAAACAGAAGCAGTCCCCCCCCCCTGGAAATACTCAAAATGGCACACGTCCAGGGGGTTGACTGCTTCTGTTTACGGTACTTGCTGAGTGACGAATCATGACAAATAGCGCTTAATACGCAAAAAACAAAGGAGATGGACTTCTGTGTAGTATTCTGTGACATTGGTCCGATCACACAAAAAAAATTGTCACATTATACATTTTTTGCTGTGACAAAATCCGATTGCAAATTCACTCAATTTGTATTTTGCAATAAAATTTATGAGGCGTTCTAGCATTTTACTTAACGTTGTGCCGGAATGGCATAATCATACTTGTCCTGTGACATATATATCTTGTGACGTATATATGTCCAACCAAATTTAGTGATGTTGGTTTTTGTCCGACTAAATTCATGTTATGTCCGACCAAAATTAAAAGTGATCGGACAAATGTCCTGTCAAGTCAAATATTTATTTGCAGCCCTGCTCCACCTATGGCTTATCTATAAAATTCATTCATGATTCATCAGTTTTTGAAGGGGGCCGGGGTTGTGTCAGGGGGTGTTGAAATATTTCTCCTTTTTTATGTGACACTGCCATTGCATGGCTTAATTAACCAAAATTATCAGACTTGTCAGTTTTAAGAGGTGAAACATATTAGCACAGAATAGACTATATAGAAACCGTCACGACTTCTAGATCTTGGCTTTTCCTATGATTTTCCAATGATTTTGGCATAACCATAATTCGTCATCAAAATGCTGACGCCATAGTCCTAGCCAGTGTGTGTGGGAGAGGCATTCACCCCCTGATAATATTCAAAATGGTAGACATCCAGGGGAGTAATAGCCTGCATGCAGGCCCAATAGTGGGCCTGCAAGCAAGGCCCGGTATTTTGTACTTTCCGCGTTCGCCCGTGAACGCTGCATTCTGATTGGCTGTTTGCTGTTGGATTCTATAATTAGATCAGAGTGATTCATCACAAAGGCTCTCGATAAGCTTAAAATTCGAAAATTGATCACTTTTTTCGATTAAAAATGGAACAAGAACAGACTGTTTATTGTTTACTTGAAGGAAGAGATGTTTTTGCCGTTATGCCAATGGGGATTGCTTGTCGTGATGTGTTGGAATAGCAACATTACGACTGACTATTGAGTTTCATTAATTTCAAACAGACTTGATACGTTATATGTTCCTCAAGAAAATTATCTTTTGGTTGATGTTGACTCTGTTCTTGCACTGAAGAAAACAGCGCTTTTCGTGGTGAAGATTTAGACTATTTTAGAGGCAGTTGCATGTTAAAGCCTAGACAGTCTATTCGAAACACTTTGCGATTTGCGATTTACAAGGCTTCGCTGAGAGAGCGAAGACGGTAATTGCCGTTTGAAACGAAACGATCTGGACTCTGAACCCTCTCTCAGTCTTTTGTAGAGTTCTTTACCAAATGAAATAACTGAAATAAATTTCGTACTTTCCGCCGCCAACAAGAATTGCACATACGATCTGATGAGAAAATTATTTATTTATAACAATGGCGACAGCGAAGCACATATTAATGCTAATGTGGTCGCACGACTTCCCTCATGATTTGAAGTTTGAGACTGGTTTTCTGTTGAAATTCGTCCTAATTTGCCTGTTCCGATTTTAGTTGAAAATGAGCACTTGCAAATTTGGCAATTATATATATACTGACTGCGTTGCTTGCTTTTTTGGAGTTAAAACACAGCCATTTTAATACACATTGTTTCTGTTCTGAATAAGCAGAGAAAACCCCGCCACATTTTAATGCGAGTTTGTTGTTAATAGTTGGGTTGCTGTCATTGGTTCTTTTTTGACAATTGACACGCAAATGGGGCGTGTTATGAAAAGCGGCGTTTTACAAAATACCGGGCCTTGCTTGGAGGCCCACTATTCTTCCCTTGGGCCTGCACGCGGGCTAGGGGGTAATGCCTCTCATAAGCGCACTGGCTTAAGGCCCATATTGGCGTCAGCATTTTGATGATGAATCATGGTGTGGTAGCAGTTACTCGAATCAACCTTCTGTATGTCTTTATTCTGTGATAATTTAGTTTGAAAAGTGTTTTGGGCCGGCTTCCATAGTGTCACAGTTTTGAAAGTAGCTAGTACGTGATTTTCAAAGCAGAATAACGCTTGACTAGACTGTACCATTGCATAGTTGTGTAATTATTCTTTTACAATATAATGGATGATCATCGGCAAGAATCTTCCCTAATATTTCAGTCATACATGACTGTGTTTCACAGAAATATACCTGCCTTAGCCCATCATCAGGCAATATACACCTGGTTACTTTAAACACGATTATTGTGGGAAATAGCTGGAAATGCAGCCCAGACCTGGTCACCCGGGCCCTTACAGGAAGGATCTTATTTCATCCCACACTA